AACGACCCCAAACACACCTCCAAGACCACCACTGCCTTGCTAAAGAAGCTGAGGGTAAAGGTGATGGACTGGCCAAGCATGTCTCCAGACCTAAACCCTATTGAGCATCTGTGGGACATCCTCAAATGGAAGGTGGAGGAGCGCAAGATCTCTAACATCCACCAGCTCCGGGATGTCATCATGGAGGAGTGGAAGAGGACTCCAGTGACAACCTGTGAAGCTCTGTGAACTCCATGCCCAAGAGGGTTAAGGCAGTGCTGGAAAATAATGGCGGCCACACAAAACATTGACACTTTGGGCCCAATTTGGACCTTGTCACTTAGGAATGGACTCACTTTTGTTGCCAGCGGTTTATTATTACATCGAGTTTATATAGCGCCAAAGGGTTTACTCAGCGCTGTACAATAGAGGGGGGGACAATACAAGAAACAGAACAGCATCAACAACAGTACACGAGGGGTTAGGGGGCCCTACTCTTTCGAGCTTACAATCTAGGAGGCTTAGACATTAATGGCGGTGTGTTGAGTTATTTTGAGGGGACAGCAAATTTACATGTTATACAAGCTGTACACTGACTAAGTCAAACTGTAGCAAAGTGTCATTTCTTCAGTGTTGTCACATGAAAAGAGAGAATCAAATATTTACGAAAATGTGAGGGGGGGACTCACTTCTGGGAGATGCTGTATCTGACGTTTAATAGACTGACCTATTTTCCTCTTTCAGCTTCTGTTAGTGTCTGTCTCCATCTCCAGGCTGCTAAAAAGGTCTCAGATGAAGGGCACTTGGTATCATTCCATCTGGGACAGGAGCCAGAAGAGGAAGCATTGGCCTATGCGGCTCCTGCTCGTCCAGCAACAGCTCAATGCACTCTGATGCTCTGGGATGGAGAGTCAGCAAGCCAAGCTTGCGATCAATGGCTTGCTGATCCCAGGGATGTGCTTCCCTGGATTGTGGTCGTGGACCATATCAGAGGGTTCTGGAGGCCATGGGTTGGGCACCTCTGGTCTAGGCTGTGTGTTGGGGGGCAGCCCCTTTCCAATGCAGTTACTCCAGAGCACAGTGCAACAGCAGTCAGAATGGTAGCTTCCTCTGTTTGGTCACAGTGACATTTTCCACTAGTGAACTAATGATTGAACCTGTCCAGAGGTGTGAGTCTGTATCCAAGTATCTACATCTACTTTTGTCAGCCATGACCTAGTCATGGTTGGCGGGATGTAAGATGACAGGTCCTCAGTATTAGGGGACCCTAATACTGCGTATGCTTTTTAGGGGCAATGAGGACCTTTGACCGGTGGAGCCACTCTGTTCAGCCTGCCAAACTCCATTGGTTCTGAGGGATTTTGCCCCCTCCTAAGACACAAGCCATGCACCATTGGGGTTCTCTGGGCCCTCCTTAACTTTTGACAATTTTTTCTATGCAACGGGACTGTTTGTTTCTTGAATTGAATTGGCTCTGCTGCACAGACCGTCTACTAAGATCCCTTTTCCACCTGAGTCTGCGTCCATTGAGTTGGATGGTGACAAGTCCACCATCAGATCCAGGGACCTCTGAGGTGAATGGCTCCCTTCCTGCCTCAGATAGTGAAGAGGAGCCACTTTGGCACAGTCCAGGAAACTTTAAAGATAGAGGATTCCCCATCTGCTTCAATGGACTCCAGGGTTGCCTGCAGGACTCACAAGCCAAAAAGGTTCTCTAAAGTTTGTCCACATGACCCCTTTTTGTCAATTTTATCTAAAAAAAAATCTGTCACATCCAGCTAAGTCATTCACCTTGCCTAAACCTTTCTCTGTGAGCTGTCCTTTTGAGGAGGCATTTGTCTAGAAATTGTTCTACTCCTCCAATAGTAGATCATCCTATTTCAAGACTGAATAAAATCATCATTCAATCTGAGGAATCCCACTCTTTCTGAGACCCATCAGACCGGAAGGTGGAAAGCACTGTATATCCTATATACTTGGTTTCAGGCATCATAATTCTTCCAGTCTTTGCTTCTGCCCTGGTTTCCCAAACGCTGACTAAATGGGCAAAGTTATTGCACCATGGTCTGGCTTTGGAGCAAATTTCCCCTCCTATATGGAATTGGCAGATCAGTTTGTTCAAGGTTTGCAGTACTTGTTAATGCAGCCCCAGATTCCGGCCATCTGGTCTCCCATCTGACAGTTTTTGGTGTTTTGCAGTGTCAAGTGTTGGTCTGCAGATCAGCCGTCCAAAAGGTTTGACTGAAATGTCCCATGCAGGTAGTCCTCTTTTTGATAAATCTCTAGATGACACTATCAGGAACATCAAGGGTGGCAAGAGTACCTTGCTAGGTCAGGCCCAAAAGAATAAGGACACATGGTGGAAGTTTGGGCCCTTCTTTCTCTTCTCACAAATGCATTTTTTCTGTGGCCAAGACTCCTTTTCAAAGGACAAGTCTTCAAAGCCCACCATCTCCTTTGGCTCCAAGCACACCTGGCAACACAAAGTTTCAGAGCCCATGGAGAAGCCTACGTCTACATAAAGGCCCCAACCTCACACTTCCAAGGTGGAGGGATGCCTTCTGTTCTTTGCTGATCGCTGGCTCTCTCTCATCTCAGACAAATAGGTTCTGGAGTTAGATTCATCCAGTTACAAAATAGAATTTCAGTCCTTTCCTCCAGACCATTTTTCTACTTCCAACCTGCGTCTTTTCCCACATCATCTTCCTGACCTTCATTCAGCGGTTCAAGGGCTCTTGGATCAGGGAGTGATTGCCCCATTTTCACCGTCCAAACATTTCAGGGGCTTCTATTCCAGTTTGTTCAAAGTCCCCAAAAAATGACAGGGTCCAACCATTTCTAGAATTAAAGTCCTTGATTACCCTTCTAAAAGTATGCATGTGTCTTCTGGAGTCACCACTCTCATTGATTACTTCCCTACACCAAGGAGATCTTTAAGCCTCCATCAACATCAAGGAAACATATCTCCATTTGCCAGAATTACCAACGGTTTCTCTGGTTTGTATTGGGGAAGCCTTATTACCACTTTGTAGCCCCCCTTTTGGCCTGGTATCAGTGTCACGAGTCATCACCAATGTATTAGCTCTGGGGCTGGCCCGCCTACAATTCCAGAGAATCTTTATTGTGGGCTATTTAGATGACCTACTTCTGCAAGCATCAGAAATGCGATCTTTCCATCACGTATTTCTTGGATACCTTGGTTGGACATTAAAGTATATGTAAACCCTCGCCTTGTAAAACAAAAAGTTTGTGCATAGATTAAAAAAAACATAAATATCTTTTTTTCCCTTTTTTTATGAGTGATCACATGGCTTCTGTTCTCAACAGCATAGAGAACTGGGGAGGAGAAACAGCATCACACTGAGCTTCCCAATGATAGGTTGTGCAGGGGTCATGAGAGCAGAAGTCTGACAATTTGAGGAGAGCAGGCTGAGTTCCCGGCACAGCTAGAGAACTGACCATGCTATGCTCTTGCCTAATGTGGTCATTTTTTGATAAGAAAGCAGAGGGACTGGCAGACATACCTGGGATTTCACACAAAAGAAGCAATACAAAAGGACAGGTGACTTTTCATACAAGTACATGGTTCAGCAAGCACAGATCACGAATATGAAATGTTGGGTTTACATATTCTTTAAATCTTTGCAAGTCAGTACTTCTCCCTTCTTCTAACCTGGGATATCTAGATATAATTCTGGATAACGGGGTGGCCAGAGTTTTCCTTTCCCCAGAAAATCTCTAGACACTGTCTTATGTCCTTTCATTAGGTATCTCCAGACGGTCTCCAGTTGCTTTGCATGAGGGTTCTGGGCTTCAGAGTGGCATCCTTTGGAACAGTTTCTTATGCTCAGGATCACTTTAGGCCTCTGCAGAGGGAGATCCTGGTGACCTGGAACAGAGTTCTGGGATCTTTGGACCAACACAATTGCCTATCTCACTCGACATTGGCATCAATGTCCTGGTGGCTTCATTCTCCCCAACTACTTGGGTTCTGGGTTCAGGAAAAGGTAACAAATTAAACAGTCCAGGCTAAATGTGTTCCCATGGGGTCAGTAGTTCTTACATGTCCAGCAACCCTCCTATTCCCCCCTCACATCCACATCCTATTATTGTGTGACCAATACCATCCAAATCATTCTTACTTTCATTTCCCAAAGTTATCCGTCTACAAGGAGACCTGTATAGATCACATGATGGCACCAATGAGGATGGAGGAGGACCGGAGTTACATGACTGAGAAGATACTAAACCTCACCCTGGAGATCATCTACCTGCTGACCGGAGAGGTGAGGAGGATTCTGGGAGGTCACATGACATCACTCTTATCTCCATTAATAAAACACAGACCTGACCGGAGAGGTGAGGAGGATTCTGGGAGGTCACATGACATCACTCTCATCTCTATTAATAAAACACAGACCTGACCGGAGAGGTGAGGAGGATTCTGGGAGGTCACATGACATCACTCTCATCTCTATTAATAAAACACAGACCTGACCGGAGAGGTGAGGAAGATTCTGGGATTCTAACATGATATTCCTATTGGTTCCTCAATACAGAGATTTCCTCTTCTGAAGTCAGGTGATCATATGACCATCACAGTGCCTCCATGTGACTCCCTAAACCCTGAGAGACACAACATGCAGAAGATTCTAGAAGTCACCAAGAAGATGATGGAGCTGCTGACAGGAGAGGTGAGCGGTGCCGGGAATTCTGGGACATTCTCCAGTAACAGACAAGGGATGTGTCTGGATGGTGACTGTATCATTGTGTGTGTCAGGTTCCTATAAGGTGTCAGGGTGTCACTGTCTATTTCTCCATGGAGGAGTGGGAGTATTTAGAAGGACACAAGGATCTCTACAAGGACGTCATGATGGACAATCAGCCGCCCCTCACATCACCGGGTAAGAGAGAGACTTTATTGTAAAGGAGAGAGCAGTACGGAGGATCCACCTAGATCCCCCATCATCTGATAAACACATAGAAACAATGGATTCAGTCAGTGTGTGTGTTTCCTACAGATGGATCCAGTCATGGGAACCCACCAGAGAGATGTCCCCGTCCTCTCTGTATTCCCGGGATTCCACACAGGAAGGTCACACCATCCCTCACCATCAGGTAGGTTTGATGAAGCAAAATGAACATGGACTCATGGCGATGAAGTGTGAATTTTTTTATGCAAACTTTTATTTTACAGATGTTATTGTTGATCCTTCTCATGGTTTAGGGTGAAGATTTGATAGATAGAGAATTTGATATTAAAGCAGAAGAAGAAGAGGCGTATGTGAGGGATGATCAGCAGTCTATGGAGGAGGATGGAATAACGGGGACATTTATAGAGGAGGACACTCCTACAGAGATCAGCACAGGTGGGTCATGAACACTAAATCCATTCCTCCACCCATACTGCTCACTGATTGGTCCAGAGTAGGGCGGGGACTGGGTGATATCAGCCTGTAATCCCCTGGTCACTTTCCTGAGCTGTGTTCCCCGTCCTGTATTCCTGGATTTCTCTCGGATAATCTTCAAAGTTTATGTATCTGGACTGGATTTATTGAAATTCTAGGGTTCAGCTGGCAGCAAAGTGTTTATCTTCTTCATAGGTGTTGCTCTACCTAGGCACCTGGGACATGTGCTTTGGGTCTTGTTCCCCATGCCCGGGTCTAGCAAGATCTCTGAGTGCAGTCTCAGGAGATGGGAGGCAGCGGTGTGGGATCTCTGCAACTTGTCTACAGGAAACATTTAATGTTCCACTGATAACTGAATACCAATATTATGTGTCCTGACCCTTACACTGTATAATTTATGTTGTACATTACATACTCCTGACCCCTGCACTATATACTCTATGTTGTACATTACATACTCCTGACCCCTGCACTATATACTCTATATTGTACATTACATACTCCTGACCCCTGCACTATATACTCTATGTTGTACATTACATACTCCTGACCCCTGCACTATATACTCTATGTTGTACATTACATACTCCTGACCCCTGCACTATATACTCTATGTTGTACATTACATACTCCTGACCCCTGCACTATATACTCTGTTGTACATTACATACTCCTGACCCCTGCACTATATACTCTATGTTGTACATTACATACTCCTGACCCCTACACTATATACTCTATGTTGTACATTCCATACTCCTGACCCCTGCACTATATACTCTATGTTATACATTACATACTCCTGACCCCTGCACTATATACTCTGTTGTACTGTACATCATTCTGATACTATATAGTCCTATCTGCTGTATCTTATACAATATATTGTACATTACATACTCCTGACCCCTGCACTATATACTCTATGTTGAACATTACATAGTCCTGACTTCTGCTCTCCCCCCTCCCCCCACTGCTATATATACACATAATATGTATTCTCTTTTGTTACACCCCATTTCCTACCAGCTGGACATTTTATAACACATGATGTGATTGGAGCACAGACTCCCCCCCCCCCCCCCCCCCCCCCCATCCTCACTCTCTGACCTCTGGTGGGGCTCAGCCCCACTGTTCTTCATGGCTAAATCATGGAGTAAATAAGGAAGTGCAGTACTTCTTGTGTTGGGAAGATGGCGATGAGTGATAGAGGGGGTGGGGACCCTCGTCCTATAATCCCCTCATCACTGTCCCTCCTATAAAAGACAGTTCTGGTTGTTTCCTCACTCTCTGACTAAGGTCCATGAATAAAGAAATGACCTGGTAGGAGATCAGAGGAGCCATTTCCTAGTTCCCTTGAGGGTGGAATTGTAAGCTCCTCAGAGACCAAGCTGCCTGATGTGGGCGGAGTCCTGGTTTGGGGGAACCAATCAGCTCCTGTCCCTCCCCCCTCTGCTGTATATACACATAATATGGATTCTCTTTTGTTACACCCATTTCCTACCAGCTGGACATTTTATATCGGATGATGTGATTGGAGCACAGACTTTTACATGGTGATGATAATAATGTGATAACATCCTCCAACTTTGGACCCTTAAACAGAAAGTAATAAAGGAGGGAGTCGATACCCCAATGATGGTGGTCTTCAGGATCAGTCCAGTCTTCATCTTGGTTGTTCTCCCCCCATCCTCACTCTCTGACCTCTGGTGGGCTCAGCCAGTTCTAGTTTGGGGGAACCAATCAGCTCCTGTCTAGTAATCCTCTTTGTCTTTGTATTTTAGTCCATGGCCGGGAGATGAGGAAAACCTCCGAGGATTGTCTCACTTTGTCTCCAGACTGGAAAGTAGAAGATGAGGACATCACACAGTATAGTCCAGGAGAAAAAACCCGGCTCCCTCCAATGTCCATCCGGCACCACCCAGTGTAGATGGACCATCGGATTCCTCGTATCCTGAGGAACCTCAGACTGTGCGGGACCGGGCCGGCCTTCCAACAGGGAAGAGCTTCTCCTGTACTGAGTGCGGGAAGAGGTTTAATTTTAAATCCAGTTCTAATGTACATATAAGATCTCCAATGGGGGAGAGGCCATATTCCTGTCTTGAGTGCGGGAAATGTTTTTCAAACTATTCCTCCCTTAACACATATCAGAAACTGCATACGGGGGAGAAGCAGTATTCCTGTTCTGAGTGCAAGCAGTGTTTTGTAAAAAAATCAGAACTTGTCACACATCAGAGATCTCACATGGTGAAAAAGCCACATTCCTGCCCTGAGTGCGGGAAATGTTTTTCACGCAAGTCCAGTCTTTATAGACATCAGAGATGTCACACTGGGGAGAAACCATTTTCCTGTCCTCAGTGTGGGAAATGTTTTTCAGAGAAGTCACATTTTTGCGGACATCAACGATTGCATACGGGTGAATATCTGCATTCCTGTTCTGAGTGCGGGAAATGTTTTGTACGAAAATCAGAGCTTGTCAGACATCAGAGGTCTCACACGGGGGAAAAACCTTTTTTCTGTTCTGAGTGCGGGAAATCTTTTTCACAGAAGTACAATCTTATTATACATCAGAGATCTCATACGGGTGAGAAGCCGTATTCCTGTCTTGAGTGCGGGAAATGTTTTTTACAGAAAGCAGATCTTGTAACACATCAGAGATCTCACACGGGGGAAAAACCATATAGCTGTCCTCAGTGTGGGAAATGTTTTTCAGATAAATCACATCTTTACAAACATCAGAGGTCTCACATGGGGGAGAAGCCGTACGCCTGTCTTGAGTGCGGGAAATGTTTTTCACAGAAGTCCGTTCTTATCAAACATCAGCGACTGCACACGGGAGAGAAGCCGTATTCATGTCCTGAGTGCGGGAAATGTTTTTCAGCGAAGTTCTCTCTTTACACACATCAGAGATTGCACACGGGGGAAAAGCCGTATTCCTGTCCTGAGTGTGGGAAATGTTTTCCTCAGAAGTCCGGTCTGTACATACACCAGAAATCCCACACGGGGGAGAAGCCACTTTCCTGTCCTGAGTGAGGGAAATGTTCCTCACTGAAGTCCTTTCTTCCTGTAAATCAGGGGTCCCACACAACCCCGGAGGTGTATTAGTGCCTTGAGTGTGGGAAATGTCTTCTAGATGAATGTTGCTGGACATCCCAGCTCTCATGTGGGGAAGAAGCACACCCTGATATACACCTCAGATATACTCCATGGCTGATCTTCATCATGGAAGAAACAGTTCATAAGGAGATCAGAGGTCACCAAAGACATGGATGAAGTGTGGGACCGGGTTGGCCATTGATAGCAGGAGAAGAATAAAAATGGAGTCATCACCTTTCATTGGCTGAGTACATTTTGTGGTGGGAGATTTCACAAACGCTTTTCTACTTAAAAAAAAAAAAATAGTTGAACAAATGTGATGAGCCATGATGGATTTTGGGTGCATTTTATTCCATGCAATGATTTTCTGTGATCATTAGCGCCCTATAATGGCCATAATGCAGCATTGCACTCTTCTTTCAAACTGAGATATTTCAGGAAAAATATTTCACTATTGCCACTAGATGGCACTGATGAGCATAGCAAATCACTGTGTTTTTTTAAATGTTAAATGTCACAGTTGGATGAATGCTTGTCACAATTTATTTATTCTTTTTATTTATTACAGGTACTTACAGTGAAGGAAATGCGTATTTGATCCCCTGCTGATTTTGAATGTTTGCCCCTCACAAAGAAATGATTGTCTAAAAATCGAATGTTCGGTGTATTGTAACACTGAGACAGAATAGCAACAACAAATTCAGCAGCAATGCATGTCTAACAAATGATGACTGATTTGCATGTTCATGAGGGAAATAAGTATTTGATCCCCTATCATTCAGCAGGATTTCTGGCTACCAGGTGTCTTTCATACAGGTAACAAGCTGAGATTAGAAGCAGTCTCTTAAAGGGAGTGCTGCTAATCTCATGTTACCTGTATAAAAGACACCTGTCCACAGGAGCAATCAAACAAATCAGATCCCAAACTCTCCACCATGACAAAGACCAAAGAGCTGTCCAAGGATGTCAGGGACAAGATTGTAGACCGACACAAGGCTGGACTCGGCTACCAAACTATGGCCAAGCAGCTTGGTGAGAAGGTGACAACAGTTGGTGCAATCATTCACAAATGGAAGAAACACAAAACAAGTGTCAGTCTCCCTAGGTCTGGTGCACCATGCAAGATCTCACCTGGTGGAGTGTCAATGATCATGAGAACAGTGAGGAATCATCCCAGAACTACACGTGAGGATCTTGTCAATGATCTCCAGGCAGCTGGGACCACAGTCACCAAGAAAACAATTGGTAACACACTACGCCGACAAGGACTGAAATCCTGCAGTGCCCGCAAGGTCCCTCTGCTCCAGAAAGCACATGTCCAGGCCCATCTGAAGTTTGCCACTGAACATCTGAATGATGCAGAGGAGGACTGGTGGGAAGTGTTGTGGTCAGATGAGACCAAAATCCAGCTCTTTGGCATCAACTCAACTCACCGTGTTTGGAGGAGGAGGAATGCTGCCTATGACCCCAAGAACACTATCCCAACTGTGAAACATGGTGGTGGAAACATTCTGCTTTGGGGTTGTTTTTCTGCTAAGGGGACAGGACAACTGCACCGCATCAAAGGGACGATGGACGGGGCAATGTACCATCAAATCTTGGGTGAGACCCTTCTTCCCTCAGCCAGGGTATTGAAAATGGGTCGTGGATGGGTGTTCCAGCATGACAATGACCCAAAAACACACAGCCAAGGCAACAAAGGAGTGGCTCAAGAAGGAGCACATTAAGGTCCTGCCTAGCCAGTCTCCAGACCTTAATTCGATTGAAAATCTGTGGAGGGAGCTGAAAGTTCGAGTTGCCAAACATCAGTCACCAAATCTTAATGACTTGGAGAGGATCTGCCAAGAGGAGTGGGCCAAAATCCCTCCTGAGATGTGTGCAAACCTGGGGGCCAACTCCAGGAAAGGTCTGACCTCTGTGATTGCCAACAAGGGATTTGCCACCAAGTACTAAGTCATGTTTTGTGAAGGGGATCAAATACTTATTTCCCTCATGAACATGCAGATCCGTCATCATTTGTTAGACGCATTTCTGCTGAATTTGTTGTTGCTATTCTGTCTCTCAGTGTTACATTACACCGAACATTCGATTTTTAGACCCATCATTTCTTTGTGAGGGGCGAACATTCAAAATCAGCAGGGGAGCAAATACTCATTTCCTTCACTGTATATAGCACCGCAATTTACACAGCACTTTACATACAGTCAGGTCCATAAATATTGGGACATGGACACAATTCTAACATTTTTGGCTCTATACACCACCACAATGGATTTGAAATGAAACGAACAAGATGTGCTTTAACTGCAGACTGTCAGCTTTAATTTGAGGGTATTTACATCTAAATCAGGTGAACGGTGTAGGAATTACAACAGTTTGCATATGTGCCTCCCACTTGTTAAGGGACCAAAAGTAATGGGACAATTGGCTTCTCAGCTGTGCCATGGCCAGGTGTGTGTTATTCCCTCATTATCCCAATTACAATGAGCAGATAAAAGGTCCAGAGTTCATTTCAAGTGTGCTATTTGCATTTGGAATCTGTTGCTGTCAACTCTCAAGATGAGATCCAAAGAGCTGTCACTATCAGTGAAGCCATCATTAGGCTGAAAAAAACAAAACAAACCCATCAGAGAGATAGCAAAAACATTAGGCGTGGCCAAAACAACTGTTTGGAACATTCTTAAAAAGAAGGAACGCACCGGTGAGCTCAGCAACACCAAAAGACCCGGAAGACCACGGAAAACAACTGTGGTGGATGACCGAAGAATTCTTTCCCTGGTGAGAAAACACCCTTCACAACAGTTGGCCAGATCAAGAACACTCTCCAGGAGGTAGGTGTATGTGTGTCAAAGTCACCAATCAAGAGAAGACTTCACCAGAGTGAATACAGAGGGTTCACCACAAGATGGAAACCATTGGTGAGCCTCAAAAACAGGAAGGCCAGATTAGAGTTTGCCAAACGACATGTAAAAAAGCCTTCACAGTTCTGGAACAACATCCTATGGACAGATGAGACCGACATCAACTTGTACCAGAGTGATGGGAAGAGAAGAGTATGGAGAAGGAACTGCTCATGATCCTAAGCATACCACCTCATCAGTGAAGCATGGTGGTGGTAGTGTCATGGCGTGGGCATGTATGGCTGCCAATGGAACTGCTTCTCTTGTATTTATTGATGATGTGACTGCTGACAAAAGCAGCCGGATGAATTGTGAAGTGTTTCGGGAATATTATCTGCTCATATTCAGCCAAATGCTTCACAACTCATTGGACGCTTCACAGTGCAGATGGACAATGACCCAAAGCAGACTGCAAAAGCAACCAAAGAGTTTTTTAAGGGAAAGAAGTGGAATGTTATGCAATGGCCAAGTCAATCACCTGACCTGAATCCGATTGAGCATTTCACTTGCTGAAGACAAGACTGAAGGGAAAATGCCCCAAGAACAAGCAGGAACTGAAGACAGTTGCAGTAGAGGCCTGGCAGAGCATCACCAGGGATGAAACCCAGCGTCTGGTGATGTCTATGCGTTTCAGACTTCAGGCTGTAATTGACTGCAAAGGATTTGCAACCAAGTATTAAAAAGTGAAAGTTTGATTTATGATTATTATTCTGTCCCATTACTTTTGGTCCCTTAACAAGTGGGAGGCACATATGCAAACTGTTGTAATTCCTACACCGCTCACCTGATTTGGATGTAAATACCCTCAAATTAAAGCTGACAGTCTGCAGTTAAAGCACATCTTGTTCGTTTCATTTCAAATCCATTGTGGTGGGTGTATAGAGCCAAAAATGTTAGAATTGTGTCCATGTCCCAATATTTATGGACCTGACTGTATATATGTGGTAAATTCACATCAGTCCCTAACCCTCAAGGGGCGTACAATCTAAGGTCCCTAACTCATATACATACATACACATACTAGGGACAGTTAACCTACCAGCAAGTCTTTGGAGTGTGGGAGGAAACCCACACAGTCACAGGGAGAACATGCAAGCAATTGTCCAACTCCAGTTAATATTTTTTATAAATAGACCCCTCAGGTTCCTTCACCAGGTGTGGTTTCCTACTAATAACAGATCATACCCATGCATGAGTGCAGTAGACATCAAAGAACAGAAGTCAATCAGACCAATCATCGATTTAAAATGGAAAATGAAGAAAATGCGGGATTGTTTCTGCACAACAGTAAGGGAAATCAAATCTTAGAAATCGTATAATATCTGATTTATACATGGACACTTTTATTTATTTGTGATGTGTTATGTACCTTCAATAATACTGGAGTGGTTCTCAGGGGGAGGTGCACTATAGTTCCCTGTGGAGGGGGAATATTGTGAAGCATATGTATTTATCTTCTCAGAGGGGGAAGGTGTTTTGTAGATATTCATTTGCCATGTCAATGTGTAGAGTTTACTGCACTGTCTATTACACATGCATGGTGTCACACAGGGGAGGTGTATTACAGTACCACTCCTTGGGTACTACTCGTGTATTTAACTGTTTATTACTTTTCTCATGTTTTTGCATCCTTTTCAATAGAGGGAGGTGGTTTATAGATCCATCCTTCTATTTCACACTGATTGGATTAGGGGGGGTTGTCATTCTAGAGTGACACACTTGGCCAATTTAAGTAGTTAGGTGGCTTATAGGAAGGAGGGATCTTCCTAGGAATATATAAATACGGAAATAGGATGGGGGGGAGGTGTTGTGTAGCACAGGGTGATCACTTTACGGTAGATGCTGCTTTCCACATAGAAAATGGATCGTACTCACACTATTTATGAGGGGCATAAATACGTCCTTATGTCTTTATTAAAATGGAAAATACCGCATTTGCCCATTAGGTGGCGCTAATTATAGGAATACGCACCATCTAGTGGCCAAATGTGGTATTGTCCATTTTAAATCAATGGGAAAACATTCAACCAGCACAGCAAAAAAGCCTAATGACATTTGTTTTCCCCTCCCCCATTCAGAGAGATGCACTTCCACCAGGTGAATTGTAACTAACTTGTAATATTTTTTGAATTTATATTTTTTATGCAAGACTTTTTATTTCTGCTGGAAATCGTTGGACTTTTTATTTTAGTTTTTTATTTTATTTATAGCGCCGCACTTTTTCTGTTTTATAACTTGTAACATCTGTGAAATCCAGGAGATGGCTGGAACAATAAGGAGATTTAAAGATTAGTTACATGGGCACTTAGAAGAGAAACTCCACTAATGGAGCAAACCTTTTCAGTGAATGTCATGGAGGTGATACAGAAAAAATGTTAATCCTAAGAGAGGTGGTGATGTGTTTCAGCTGCTCTGCAATGCAAGCAGGAGGTGCTGGATAGATAGATTAGTGTTCTGTCTCTCCAAACTAAGCATTGATAATGTGATCTCTGTAACTTACAGTTGCGATGAGATAGCGATAACTCCAATCTCAGATGGATACCACAGTCAGTGACTCAATCGATAAGACATCTTGTAGATCTTGTGAAGTTTATTCCATTAACTGAGAGAATCTTACAACAATGAAATTCCACAGGTCAAAAGATCATAATGTTTCTGCTTCATGCCATGAGGCTTACTGCAGTGCATTCCTGGGAAAGGGGGAGGGTTATCTATACAATAACTAAACCGAAGGAAAGGGAGGAGCAGAGACAAAATATAGAAAACATTTAAAGGCATATGACAGTCATGTGAAACATGACAATTAGGATCCCGGATGGGTTCAAATTTGAGTAGGTATAACTCTCTTTTATGAATGGTCTGCGGTGGCGCTCCTTTACAGTGTGGTCTGTAACATGGACCGTCAGGTGCAGTTCATTAGAACATAACATTTCATTTCGGTATTCTTGGTTCTGGATCATCAGGACTGGAAGTTTTCTATATATATGTGTGTGTGTATACATAAGTGAGTGCCCCCATACAGGACTGGAAGTTTCTATATATATGTGTATGTATACAGTAAGTGCCCCCGTACATGACTGGAAGTTTCTATATATATGTGTATGTATACAGTAAGTGCCCCCGTACAGGACTGGAAGTTTCTATATATATGTGTATGTATACAGTAAGTGCCCCCCGTACAGGACTGGAAGTTTCTATATATATGTGTATGTATACAGTAAGTGCCCCCCGTACAGGACTGGAAGTTTCTATATATATGTGTGTATACAGTAAGTGCCCCCCGTACAGGACTGGAAGTTTCTATATATATGTGTGTATACAGTAAGTGCCCCCGTACAGGACTGGAAGTTTCTATATATATATGTGTATGTATACAGTAAGTGCCCCCCCCCCGTACAGGACTGGAAGTTTCTATATATATATGTGTATACAGTATACAGTAAGTGCCCCCCGTACAGGACTGGAAGTCTCTATATATGTGTGTATGTATACAGTAAGTGCCCCCGTACAGGACTGGAAGTCTCTATATATGTGTGTATGTATACAGTAAGTGCCCCCATACAGGACTGGAAGTTTCTATATATGTGTGTATGTATACAGTAAGTGCCCCCGTACAGGACTGGAAGTCTCTATATATGTGCGTGTGTATACAGTAAGTACCCCCGTACAGGACTGGAAGTCTCTATATGTGTGTGTATGTATACAGTAAGTGCCCCCGTACAGGACTGGAAGTCTCTATATACGTGTGTATGTATACAGTAAGTACCCCCGTACAGGAATGGAAGTCTCTATATACGTGTGTATGTATACAGTAAGTGCCCCCGTACAGGACTGGAAGTCTCTATATACGTGTGTATGTATACAGTAAGTGCCCCCATACAGGACTGGAAGTTTCTATATATGTGTGTGTGTATACAGTAAGTACCCCCGTACAGGACTGGAAGTCTCTATATATGTGTGTGTATACAGTAAGTGCCCCCGTACAGGACTGGAAGTCTCTATATACGTGTGTATGTATACAGTAAGTGTGCCCCCACACAGGACTGGAAGTTTCTATATATGTGTGTATGTATACAGTAAGTGCCCCCGTACAGGACTGGAAGTCTCTTTATATGTGTGTATGTATACAGTAAGTGCCCCCATACAGGACTGGAAGTCTCTTTATATGTGTGTATGTATACAGTAAGTGCCCCCATACAGGACTGGAAGTCTCTTTATATGTGTGTGTATACAGTAAGTGCCCCCGTACAGGACTGGAAGTCTCTTTATATGTGTGTGTATACAGTAAGTGCCCCCCGTACAGGACTGGAAGTCTCTTTATATGTGTGTATGTATACATTGGACATTAATTTGTTGTCATGACTTTTTCCTCTCAATGATTACTTTGTGAATATTTAGTAATTGTTGTATTTTACAGTATGCAGACAGGATACCCACCTATGATGTGCAGCTGGCTTGGTAATTAACATGCTAATTGATTTTGAATATTTAAATGGGGAGAAAGCATTATGGGGGGTATGCTGTGATTGGGCGCTTGGAGCATGAAAGGCATTAGTAGTCTCCTCTCCTGCCATGCTGTCATTTCTGGATTATTATAATAAAGGAGTATTTTGCTGGAGTGCCGTCATCCGGGAAGTTTCTTTTTTTTTTTTTTTAATAATCACTTGTTATTAGAATTTTGTACAAAACAATAATACAAAAGGTACAAGAGGCACAAAGAAAACCAGTACGAAGGGAAATTCTACAGAATGTCAGAAGACAAATGGACCAGTGGGGACACTGATGGGGAAATCCGGTTGTATGGGGACACCTGATGAATGGGGATTCTGTGTTGGGGACACCTGATGTATATAGACACTGTGATATACCTGATGGAGGGGGACACCTGTTGTATGGGGACAGTGCGATGGGGATACCTGATGTGTATGGAGGCCGTAATGGAGAAAATAGGGGACACCTAATGTATGGGGAGATTTTGATGGGAACACGTGATGTACAGTATATGGACACTGTAATGGGGACACTGATAGGAGACACTTAATGTTTGGGGACATTTGGATGGGGACACCTGATGTATAGAGACACTTTGAAGGGTATACCTGATGGATGGGGACACTGCAATGGAGACACCTGATGTATAGGGGTACTTTGATGGAAATACCTGATGGATGGGGACACCTGATGTATGGGGGTACTGCAATGGAGATATCTGATGTACTGTAATTGAAACACTGTGATGGGGGACACCTGATTTATGGGGACACTTTGATAGGGATGCCTGATAGATGGGGACATCTGATGTTTATGGGTACTTTGGGGATAATTGATAGATGGGGACACTGCAATGGGGACACCTGATGTTTATGGGTACTTTGACGCGGATAACTGATGGATGGGGATACTGCAATGGGAACAACTGATGTATTAGGGGTACTTTGATGGGGATAACTCATGGATGGGGAAATTGTGATGGGGGCAACTGACGTATATGGAAACTTTGACGAGGATACCTGATGGATGGGGACATTGTGATGGGGTTACCTGATGTATGGGGTACTTTGATGGAGATACTTGATGGATGGGGACATTACGATGGGGAGACCTGGTGTATAGGGGTGCTTTGATGGGGATACCTGATGGATGGGGACACTGCAATGGGGACAACTGATGTATAGGGGTACTTTGATGGGGATACCTGATGTATGAGGACACTGCAATGGAGATATCTGATGTATTGTAATGGGAAAACTGTGATGGGGGACACCTGATGTATGGGGACACTTTGATGGGGATGCCTGATAGATGGAGCTGTCTGATGTATATGGGTGCTTTGATGGGGATAACTGATGGATGGGGACACTGCAATGGGGACAACTGATGTATAGGGGTACTTTGATGGGGATACCTGATGGATGGGGACATTACGATGGGGAGACCTGGTGTATAGGGGTGCTTTGATGGGGATACCTCATGGATGGGGACACTGCAATGGGGACAACTGATGTATAGGGGTGCTTTGATGGGGATACCTCATGGATGGGGACACTGCAATGGGGACAACTGATGTATAGGGGTACTTTGATGGGGATACCTGATGGATGGGGAAATTGTGATGGGGTTACCTGATGTATGGGGACACCTGATGGATGGGGACATTGTGATGGGGAGACCTGATGTATAGGGGTGCTTTGATGGGGATACCTGATGGATGGGGATACTTTGATGGGGACAGCTGATGTATGGGGAGTACTTTGATGGGGACACCTGATATATAGGGGTACTTTGATGGGGATACTGCGATGAAGACACCTGATGTATTGGGGATACCTAATGTATGGGGGTGCTTTAATAGGGACACCTGATGCAGGCTGGTAGGGGCCTCAGTTCATTACTTTTTCCAATGGCCCATGATGCTATTCAGATGCCGCTGGCTCTGCTTCCACGAATATGTCCACTTCCTATTTCCAATCAGCCAACATAGGACAAGTGGGCTGTTTCCAATATCGGGGGATCAGACTCCTCTTGGCTGTATTTAATAGCTAACTTAATCAATGAATGGGTATCAATGAAAGAGAAGCTGGAGTGGAGTGCACTGAATGGGTTGAAGGGTTGTTTTTCTTTATCCAGGGGGTAATCACCCTCCAGAATGCCCGTACCTTGGGGAAGTACCACCAAAGGTGAACCCCTACCCCTGTTCGTCTCTATGATCAGCTGGCTGAAGCACTGTCTGGGTCTTTGTTCGTCTCTATGATCAGCTGGCGGAAGCACTGTCTGGGTCTTTGTTCGTCTCTATGATCAGCAGGCGGAAGCACTGGCTGGGTCTTTGTTTGTCTCTATGATCAGCTGGCGGAAGCACTGGCTGGGTCTTTGTTCGTCTCTATGATCAGCTGGCGGAAGCACTGGCTGGGTCTTTGTTCGTCTCTATTATCAGCTGGCGGAAGCACTGGCTGGGTCTTTGTTCGTCTCTATGATCAGTTGGTGTAAGCACTGACTGGGTCTTTGTTCATCTCTATGATCAGCTGGGGGAAGGACTGGCTGGGTCTTTGTACATCTCTATGATCAGCTGGGGGAAGCACTGGCTGGGTCTTTGTACATCTCTATGATCAGCTGGCGTAAGCACTGGCTGGGTCTTTGTTCGTCTCTATGATCAGCTGGCGGAAGCACTGGTTGGGTCTTTGTTCATCTCTATGATCAGCTGGGGGAAGCACTGGCTGGGTCTTTGTTCATCTCTATGATCAGCTGGCGGAAACACTGGTTGGGTCTTTGTTCGTCTCTATGATCAGCTGGCGGCGGAAACACTGGTTGGGTCTTTGTTCATCTCTATGATCAGCTGGGGGGGAAGCACTGGCTGGGTCTTTGTTCGTCTCTATGATCAGCTGGGGGAAGCACTGGCTGGGTCTTTGTTCGTCTCTATGATCAGCTGGGGGAAGCACTGGCTGGGTCTTTGTTCGTCTCTATGATCAGCTGGGGGAAGCACTGGCTGGGTCTTTGTTCATCTCTATGATCAGCTGGTGGAAGCACTGGCTGGTTGATTGCTTGGGACTTGACAGCTTGATGAGGCTGAGGACGGGTGAAGTGGGGGGGGGGGGGGGCACTTTTTTTAATAGCAATCCAGCAGCTAGCTAGACACTAGGTTTATTTTTACAAGAGATAAGACGGCCCCTCTTAAAAATGGTACCAGGATGATGCCTGCAGCTGCAGTCCCAGCATAACCACTTGAAGTTCCACGCCGTACAAGTACGTGGCTGGAGCTGATGTGGATAAAACGGACTATGTTTAGAATGTATTAATTTTTTACAGTGTAAACTTTTCAAACTTGGCGCTGAAATTCAACCACTTAGAGATCAGTCCCTGGGGGATGGCTAGGTGTTTCAGCACACTAATGGCCACACACTTTAATGCCACTTCCGCTTGGAGCCCTTATAACAGACTTGGGCAAACTGCAGCCCTTTTGGCTGTCCCTCCCTCAACACCTCCACTGTCAGCATGCCTTACTGAAGAAGCTGATTGGCACAATGACAGAGGCCCGTGTGTAGAGTGGCAAGAACTGGAAGGAAAGAGCTGATCTGTACAGTGGGAAGGCTCAGTTCTGGTGGGAGAGCATTGCCTAGGAGATGTCCCAACGCTCTACCACCACTCTGCTTTCTGGCCAAGTTCTTCCTGTGTTAACGCTTGCAAACCCCAGTAGCCGCACACTTGTTCTACACTCCAAGTCAGGATCTGCAGAAATCCTTGCTGTACCGATCTCAGGCTCCCTCCTTTCAGTGTTTGCAGCTCTGCCAGTAATCTCCCTGAGCCAGCCAGTCAGACATTGGCCCTTAGAACGGCAGATTATATAAAGTGGTTGTAAACCTCAGATGAAATATGAACAAAGCATATCCATCTATAGTGTGTACTTGCCTCAATCCAGAACACTAAGTGTCATTTCTGTCTGCTGCCTCATTCCTCTGCTATAAGCATGAGTCACTTCTGAGGATTTTTCCTGACACCAAGAGAATACTGGTGACAGGGGAGGACACAGCTTGTGTCATGTACCTGTTAGGAGAATGAAATGACGAGGTCGGCCTCACTTGTGTCTCTAGCCCTGAGCTCACTGGAAGTGGAACAGAGGGTGCCAAGGGAACAAGAGTGCCAGCAGATGTTGCAGAATCCCACCTCGGTTAAAGGGACACTCCGCTTGCACAACAGTTTCAGGATAAGTGACGTGTCAGATCTCCCAGCCGACTTGAAGCAGGAACACTCAATGGTGTGCAGAGCTGGTATAGTAGACAGCCAGGTGGGCACTCGAGCAGGACGGGAAGCTGGGATTGGAAGTAGGAGCGAGGTGACAGGAATAGCCAAGGTCATCAAGAGACGGGCAGCGAAGTACCAAATCATGAGCAAGCCGAAGTCAGGAACAGAGCCGGGATCAGGAAGGAGCAACAAGGCAGGAGAGGAATCCGAAGTCAGATCAGGAACAAGCTGGGTCAACAACAAGGGGATCATACAAGAACACAGCAGGACATGGGAAAAGCACAAAGCACAGACAGAAGCATCCTTTAAATAGTCCATCTGGTGCCAATATTCACTGTGCATGATTGCGCATTTCTGTGCGCATGCGCACATCTGGTCACCATTCTGCAGAGATTGCTGTGCACATGCGCATTTCTATTAGTCAACCGTCTCACAGGAATTCCCTTACAGCTTGTGGTTGACAGCCTCAGCGCTGTTCCTCTGTGAAGTGGGTGTGTCCTTTCCCTCCAATCAGGTAATTTCAGTTCTCTGCCCCCTGCTTTCCAATGCTGAGAGATCCTTTGTAAATTCTGCACTTTGAATGGATGTAGGGCAAAGATGGCTACAGATAAACATGTACAATTTATGTAGGTGGACTTCATCTCTGTGTATCTTCTGAGGCCAGTCACTTCACTGGGCATTTCTAAGGGTTTATAACCATTTTAATTACCTACTGCACCTTCCAATTCCCTCACTGCTGCCAGAGGTACTCATGATCGACTCGATCGAAGGCATTTGCCTGATCCACTGCCAGCAAGTACTTCCCCCAGCCCTCAGCCTTACACCGCTCCAGAGCCTCCCGGACAGCTAACACCGCTGTAAAGGTACTCCTACCCTGGATCGAGCAATACTGTTGCCGTGAAAGCAAACCGTCCGCCACTGACAAGCGCCAGAACAAGATCTTTGCCAGAACCTTTCTATCGACATTGAGAAGGATAATGGGGCGCCAATTCTCAATAGCCGAAGGATCCTTACCTTTTGACAAAAGAATTACAGCAGATCGCCTCATGGAGGGAGGGAGAGAACCCTCATCCAGACAGCTGTTATAAACCTCCAAGATGGGATGCCAAGCTGGATTTAAAAGTTTTAAACAACTCAGCTGTCAAACCATCTGGCCCAGGAGTCTTTTTAATGGCCAGACTGTCAATAGCTTTGATCACCTCTTCTGCTGTAATTACCCCTGTCAAACTTGCCGGGGGGACATTACATTCCAAACCCGATGTAGATTCCAAAAAGCTCAACATCCTTGTCCGGTCAAGGCTCTTCACACTCAGTAAGTCCTCATAAAAGGACCTAGAGACCTCCAGGATCCCTGACCTGGATTTTGTCAGGGACCCCGTACTATCCCTTAAAGCAGAGACCGTTTTTAACCGCTGCGCTCTGTTTGCAGTTCTGAAAAGGGTCGGGCGAGTGATATTTCCCATAATCCCTCTCCAGAACTAAAGAGGCACGCCGGTCGTATTGGAACTTCCTGAGGAGCTTAGCCTCCGAGATTGCCCCAGAATCTCCACTGCTAGAGACAAGGCGGTCCAGCTTCCTCCGCAACCGTTGGTAGGCGTTGTATCTATCAAGCTGTTTTCTTTTCCCTATGGCCTTGAAAAACCTGCCAATCCACAACTTGACAAGCTCCCACCACTCTGACTTACTGTTGGAAAAATCCAGCAACGTCACCTGAGCCTGAAAGAACTCCTCGAAAGATCGTCTCACCTCCTCGTCTTCCAGTAGAGACAAATTCATTCTCCAGATGCCCCTTCCCTCTCAGTGGCGTGTCTGAAACATTCAAAGTCACAGTAAGCATAAGGTGATCAGAGAACTCCACCGCTCGACACTCAGAAGCCGAGAAGGCAGAGTTCTCCTTTAAAAAAAACCTGTCTATCCTACTCTGACTATTACCTCTCCTAAACGTGAAACCCGTGCTGTCTGGGCTGCTCTTAACCAAGGCATCCACCAGACCTGCTTCCCTGACTATAGCATTCAGAAAAACGCTATCATATCCAGCCTGTCATTGCAGCCCCTCCTGTCCTTGGGCCTAGTTACGGTGTTAAAATCACCTCCAAAGACCACCAGCCGGGACGTAAAAAGGAAAGGCTTGATCTTTGTGAAGAGACATTTCCTGTCCCATTTGGACTGCGGTCCATAGATATTGATTAGGCGCAGTTCCTGACCCCTCACAAGGACATCCAAGATCAGACATCTTCCAATCTCCACCTCAATTAACCGCCGGCACGTTACCATACCGGTAAAAAGCACCGCGACTCCGCTGTAAGGCTCGGCCGCAAGAGACCAGAAAGATGGACCACACCTCCACTCCCTTTTGACCAGATAAACGTCAGCCAAGCTACACAACCGGGTCTCCTGCAAAAATAAAACATCAGCATCAATACTGCTGAGCAAAAATAAGGCCGTTTCTCTAGCACTTACAGATTTTATGCTGGCAACATTAATGGTTGCCACCTTTATCGGAGCGGGAACTGCCATTAGGGTAATGGAGAATGGCGCTTCTTAACCTTCCTTTTGGTTTTCTTGGAAAGGTCCCTTGACCTCTTCAGAGACCCCCCCTCGTCCTCATCCTCCATCGGGGAAGAAGGATCACCTGACTCCTTCTCCTCCCCAGACAGAGTCCCAAACTTGTTCCCCAGAACCAGATCCCCTACCTCTAATGAGGAGACCGACCCCGCTGGGGAAAGGACAGGCTTATTGCCCTTCTTAACTGTGGACCACCCTTCCTCCACCTGGACCCCCACCTGACCTCCCAGAACAGGAGCCTGGACAGGCACCTTATCCCGACGCAGCGGGAGGAGAACCGGGTGAATGGACACAGAAGGCCCAGTTGTAACCTCCACCACCCCAGCCCCTTTGGCTGCCTCCACCAATTTCTTTCCCTTCTTTTGAAGGGGGATGGACACCACGTATTATACTACTGGAATCCTAACTAGGTTTGTAGACTCAACCAGGGCAACCTCAGGGACCACAGAAACCTCCTCCACCTCCCCAAGGCCTGCCTCAGAAGGCACAGTGGCCTTCACTACCTCCTCCGCCGCATCCTCGGCATCCAGCCTGTCTAATTCAGCTATTATCACCCTATCTGAGATGTTACGGAGGGCTTCAGGACATGAATTATAGGAATGCCCCACAGAACCACACAAGTTGCACCTTATTACGCTGCAATCCTTGGCCAGGTGCCCAATCTCCTGGCACAAGGAGCAGCGCATCAAAGGACAGGTGGCGGCAAAATGCCCCTTGGCACCACACCGGTGACATACCCCGCGGTTGGCCAGGATAAAAAATTATTAACCTATCCCTGCCAAGGAAGGTAGGGGAAGGAATATGCTGGAGCACATTCCCCTCCACCCTCAAGCGGACGGTGGGTTATCCACCCGCCTGTCCAGATCCCCCTTTCATCCGTAATTTTACTCAGGGGCGCCATAACATCCCCATATCTCCCCAGCCACACCACAATATCTGCAGGGGGGATCGACTCATTTATCACCAGAACCGTGATTTTCTTGACCACGTTCTGGCGAGATATCAATTTTGGGGACAGACCAACCCACCTCGGGCTATGGGGCATAGATGGAATCATATCTTTGCCAAAAAAGATCTAGCAATTCCGGCCGCATAAAAGATACATCGTATTTGCCCGTACTGACTGGGGCAATGGAAGCAAACAAATCTGTTGCTTTATAGCCCATCTCAAGAATACGATCAATTACTTCCCTCCGACCTAAAGGGGGACCCTGCCCTGTCCATTTTAACTGGACAACATTTCTGCGGGCAGCAGATGTCGGTAGGTTGCCCGCCCTAGCTTGCATTGGCCTGGCAGGCCCCTGCCCACCCCTAACCACCGCCGAGTAGCTTAAAGCGGATAAAACTGTGGGGGTACTAACAACAGAGGGAGCAGGGTCCGGGGAGACCGCAGCCAGGGCAACAGAAGGAGCCTGAACCTGAGGACCAGGGACCAACGGGTCAGACCCCTGAACCTGGGGACCCGGACTACCAGAAGGGGGACTGGACAAAGCAGAGCCCTGGGAGGCCCGCACCTGTACCTCAGAAACAATTACAGGGGAACTAAGCAGTGCCTGACCCGCAGGGACTAGGGTTTGGGAAATCAGCCCACCAGATGGGAACCCCAACGGGACAGACACAACCCCAACACCTTCCACAGCCTTCAAGGGGGCGGAGCCAATGGGAGCCTGCACCAGGGGGACAGAGGAACCCAGACCACCCAAACCATGCACTGCAGGAGGAGCCTGCACTATAGGTATAGCCCCAGACATATTACCCGCAGGGATGTCCATTGGTGCGTCACCACCAGCCTTTGCAGAGTCCTGCAGCACACCTTCGGCCATCAGCACGCCATCTTTACTGACATGGAGCTCCCCAGTTGGACAAAAAACGCCCGGTCCTTCTTCACCGGCTTAGCCGGCTTACGCGGCATATTTTCTTCCTTATTTCCAGAATCCTCGGAAGCAAAACGGAAGTGATCACTTCTCAACGCCGGCTCCATTTCCTGGACGAAGCTGAGCTTTCCCGCGGTCTCCGCCTCCTCCACTTGTGTTCCCCAATCCACGCTCTGCTGCCTGAGGGGGAGGGAGCCCGACCCATACGTGGCCTCGACGTCCTCCGTATCAGCCGGCGCCATTTCCGAAATCACTACAGCGGGCTCAGCCAGCCCCTGCACCGGCTCACCTCCCATCACTGATGCATCCGACAGCTCCTCCATGGAGGAGACCTCGTCCACAGGGCCTCTTGCCACCGCCACACACTTGCTCCTAGCTGCTTTAAAGCGGCTATCATTTGCATATTTCTCCCTCAAGACTCCGCTCTTTCTCTTGAGGGCCGCCACATACTTCTCTTGGACGGAGATCCGCTGCTTTAAGACCTCCAGACCAGGCTTCATGGCCTGTCTTTTTGAGCTCCAGACCCGATCATAACTGGAGCGCATCTTCTTGAGCTCCATGCTCAATTTGACCAGCTTGGCCTCCTCTTTCTCCACGGTCTTTATTCGGGCAGCTACCTGGCCTTTATACTCCGCGTATCCTTCCCCCTTCTTTGGGGCTGTTCCCAGGTCCTCCACAGATGGGAAGCCAGGACCGGTACTAGGCCCCTCCGGGGGTCTCCCACCGCTGGACTCAGGCCCAGGGTCCACCATCCTCCCTGGGCTTGAGCAGGGCACTTTAGCCCCAGGCATCTCGGGCCTTCCTGGAGCTCAGCAGAGCTTTCCACCTTGCGACCACACCCGTCAGGAAAAGACTCAGCACTGGTGGTGCTGTGGCTCACCTGCTCTGTGGGCTGCAGTACCAGCCCCTACCCTGCATTCACTATATCTGGTCTCCCTGGACCCTGCATTCACTGTATCCGCTCTCCCTGGACCCCACATTCAATATATCCGCTCTCCCCAGACCCCGCATTCAATATATCTGCTCTCCCCGGACCCCGCATTCACTATATCCGCTCTCCCCGGACCCGGCATTCACTATATCCGCTCTCCCTGGAACCTGCATTCACTATATCTGGTCTCCCCGGACCCTGCATTCACTATATCCGCTCTCCCTGGAACCTGCATTCACTATATCCGCTCTCCCCGGACCCCGCATTCACTATATCTGCTCTCCCTAGAACCTGCATTCACTATATCTGGTCTCCCCGGACCCTGCATTTACTATATCTGCTCTCCCCGGACCCCGCATTCACTATATCTGCTCTCCCTAGAACCTGCATTCACTATATCTGGTCTCCCCGGACCCCGCATCCACTATATCTGCTGCTCTCCCTAGAACCTGCATTCACTATATCTGCTCTCCCGGACCCTGCATTCACTATATCTGGTCTCCCTGGACCCCGCGCATTCACTATATCTGCTCTCCCCGGACCCCGCATTCAATGTATCCGCTCTCCCCGGACCCTGCATTCACTATATCTGGTCTCCCTGGACCCCGCATTCACTATATCTGCTCTCCCCGGACCCCGCATTCACTGTATCCGCTCTCCCCAGACCCCGCATTCACTATATCTGGTCTCCCCTGACCCCGCATTCACTGTATCCGCTCTCCCCGGACCCCGCATTCACTATATCTGGTCTCCCTGGACCCTGCATTCACTGTATCCGCTCTCCCCAGACCCCGCATTCACTATATCTGCTCTCCCCGGATCCCACATTCTCTATTCCCGCTCTCCCCAGACCCTGCATTCACTATATTTGGTCCCCCCAGACACTGCATTCACTATATCTGCTCTCTCCCCGCACCCCGCATTCACTATATCTGCTCTCCCCGCACCCCGCATTCACTATATCTGCTCTCCCCGCACCCCGCATTCACTATATCTGCTCTCCCCGCACCCCGCATTCCACTATATCTGGTCTCCCCAGACCCTACATTCACTATATCCGCTCTCCCACAGTACACACAACATGGAAATGCAATTATTTTAGTAAATAAAAACTGCTAAATACATTTTCTCATCAGCAGTATCTACCAGTATTGAGACTTCTATCTATGTCCAGCAGAGCACTGGCTACAGCTTGCAAGAGGCGTTTTCATTCTCCCCAGATTGTCTGCATGATTGAGGCTGCATGACCCCTGACCCTCTGGACAGTGCTGATTGGCCCTGTGCTGAGCACATGCACCCTCCCAATAAAAAACAAAACACACTGAGCATGTACATCTTGCTCCCAAGGCTTTGCTCTATCAGCAGATGGATTGGGTGGAAGAAGAGGAGGATCAGAGAAGACAGGATCAAACATCCTTTTTACACAATGCAGAGGATTAACCCCTTAGGTTCCACAGTGAGTATAACAAGCATGCTTTACTGCATCTACAGACTGATTGTACTGTGGTGGGTTTAGTAAACACTTTAATAAACAGATTATACAGAACAGCAGGAGTCCCCCAGCACCAGGTTGCTTTGAGCCGATTCTTATCTTCTGCTTTGAGTCTCTGAGTCTAGGAGGGGGTTGGAGCAGTTTGGGCTGTTGATTCTGTACCCCAACAAAACACACAGGGCCCCAAATCTGTATCCTGGTCCTCCTCCTCTCAGAGTCTGCTTTTCCGGGGGACAAGGACTTGAATCTGAAGTAAACTACTCTAAAGGTCCCCCCAGGCACACACCTCCCCAAAGAACAGATCAGGAATCACAAACAACCCAAAAGATGGCGACTGGTTACTATTTGGGACACATTTTCCTGGGCTGGGATACCACAAAGACAGTACTTAATTCAGTCAAACAACAAGGATTTATTACTAAATATTAGTTAACCCCTCCCCCTCCAGAGGGTTTCCCTCCCCTTCCTGACCAGGCCATTTTTTGCGAGTCGGCTCTACGTTACTTTGACAATTGCGCAGTCATGCAACGCTGCACCCAAATGAAATTTACGTCCTTTGTTTCCCACTAACTTCTTTCGGTGGTATTTGATTGCCTGTGCGTATTTTATTTTTTGCGCTATTAAAAAAAACAAAAAAAACAACAGTTTCAAGAAAAAAAATATATTTTCTTTACTTTTTGCTATTAAACATGTGCATTAAAAAAAAATTTAAAATCTAAATTCGTCAGAAATTTGCCCAAAATGTATTCTGCTCCATGTCTTTGCTAAAAAAAAAAAATCCCGATACGTGTAAATGAATTGGTTTACGTGAAAGTTATAGTGTTTACAAATGGCGGTATAGATGCTGGAATTTTTTTCTTTTTTTACTAGTAATGGTGGTGATCAGCGACTTATAGCGGGACTGGGGGGGGAACTGACACTGTACTAATGGCACTGGGCAGGAAGGGGTTAATGTGAGGGGCGATCAAAGGGTTAACTGTGTGCAGGGAGTGTTTTACTGGAGGGCAGTGTCTGGTTTTCACTGTAAGCACACACTGTTCTGGATGGCTGTGCGGTGCACACTGTTCTGGATGGCTGTGTGGTGCACAGCCATCCAGAGCAGGGTACCTGAGCTGATAGGGAGGAGGACTGTTCGTAAACAAAACAGTCCTCCCCATCGGAGATGCTCGGTAATCACCAGCTGCGACCCGGTGATTGACAGCCATGCCGCAAATGGTAGTGCGCCCACAAAAAAAAAGCACCGATACTGTACTAATGGTACTGGGTAGGAAGGGGGCGATCAAAGGGTTAACTGTGTGCTGGGACTGAAATTTTATAATTTTGTTCACACAACTAGAGCACTTTTGGTGATATTTAATTATTGGGGTTTTTTATTTTTTGCTAAATTAACAAAAAGAGACTGAGAATTTTGAACAAAAAAACAAGTTTTTCTTTGTTTCTGTTATAAAAGTTTGCAAAATATTTGTTTTCCATAAATTTAGGCCGAGATGTATTCTACTACATGTCTTTGGTGAAAATAACCCAAATCAGTATTTATTATTTAGTCTGTAGGAAAGTTATTGAGTTCACAAACTATGAGATATATTATTGTCAGAACAGTACAGATATCCCCCAAATGTCAGATCGGTACAGATATCCCCCAAATGTCAGGACGGTACAGATATCCCCCAAATGTCAGGACGGTACAGATATCCCCCCAAATGTCAGAACGGTACAGATATCCCCCAAATGTCAGGACGGTACAGATATCCCCCAAATGTCAGGACGGTACAGATATCCCCCAAATGTCAGGACAGGACGGATATCCCTCAAATGTCAGGACGGTACGGATACACCTCAAATGTCAGGACGGTACGGATATCCCCAAAATGTCAGGACGGTACGGATATCCCCCAAATGTCAGGACGGTACAGATATCCCCCAAATGTCAGAACAGTACAGATATCCCCCAAATGTCAGGACAGTACAGATATCTCCCAAATGTCAGAACAGTACAGATATCCCCCAAATGTCAGGACAGGACGGATATCCTCAAATGTCAGGACGGTACGGATATCCCCCAAATGTCAGGACGGTACGGATATCCCCCAAATGTCAGGACGGTACAGATATCCCCCAAATGTCAGAACAGTACAGATATCCCCCAAATGTCAGGACAGTACAGATATCTCCCAAATGTCAGAACAGTACAGATATCCCCCAAATGTCAGGACAGGACGGATATCCCTCAAATGTCAGGACGGTACGGATACACCTCAAATGTCAGGACGGTACGGATATCCCCAAAATGTCAGGACGGTACGGATATCCCCCAAATGTCAGGACGGTACGGATATCCCCCAAATGTCAGGACGGTACAGATATCCCCCAAATGTCAGGTTCTGTCCTTGGACCCCTTCTCTTCTCCATCTACACCTCCTCCCTTGGTCACTTGATAAACTCCCACGGCTTTAGGTATCTCTATGCTGATGACACACAAATCTATCTTTCTACCCCTCACCTCACCCCTTCAGTCTCCTCTCACATTACTAACCTACTAAGTGACATATCGGCATGGATGTCACTCCACTTCCTCAAACTAAATCTTTCCAAAACTGAGCTCTTAGTATTCCCCCCAGCCCGTGCTCCCTCCCCTGACTTCTCCATCATGATCAATAATACAACCATCAGTCCCTCCCCTCATGCCAGGGTACTATGTGTAATCCTAGACTCCCATCTGTCCTTTCAGCCCCAAATCCAATCACTGTCCAAATCTTGTAGACTTCACCTCCGCAACATCTCCAAGATACGCCCGTTCCTAACCTCGGAAACCACTAAGCAACTTATTCACTCCCTTGTTATATCTCGCCTTGACTATTGTAACTCCCTCCTCATTGGCCGACCTCATCGCAGGCTATCCCCACTACAGTCTATCATGAATGCTGCTGCCAGACTCATCCACCTCACTAACTGTTCTGTATCTGCCACCCCTCTCTGCCAATCCCTCCACTGGCTTCCATTCAGTGTCCTCCACCCCTCTCTGCCAATCCCTCCACTGGCCTCCATTCAGTATCCTCCACCCCTCTCTGCCAATCCCTCCACTGGCTCCCATTGCCCAACAAATAAAATTCAAAACACTAACAATAACATATAAAGCCATCCACAACACTGCCCCAAATTACACAACCAATCTTATCTCTAAATATCACCCAAACTGTACACTCCGCTCCTCGCATGACCTCCTACTCTCTAGCTCCTTTGTCTCCTCCTCCCATGCTCGTCTCCAGGACTTCCCCCATCCTCTGGAACTCCCTACCCCAATCTATCAGACTATCGCCTACTCTGCTCATTTTTAGGCGATCTATGAAAACCTCTCTCTTCAGGGAAGCCTATCCTGCCCTCAGCTAATAATGGAATCTTCTACTCCTCCTACCAGTCCATCCCCCACAGTTATTACATATTGTACCACCAGCCTCTCCCTCCTAGATTGTAAGCTCCCAGGAGCAGGGCCCTCCTAACCCTCTTGTATTGAACTGTATTGTCTCCCACTATAATGTAAAAGCACTGAGCAAACCATTGGCGCTATATAAATCCTGTATAATAATAATAATATCCCCCAAATGTCAGGACGGTACAGATATCCCCCAAATGTCAGAACGGTACAGATATCCCCCAAATGTCAGAACGGTACAGATATCCCCCAAATGTCAGAACGGTACAGATATCCCCCAAATGTCAGGACGGTACAGATATCCCCCAAATGTCAGGACGGTACAGATATCCTCCAAATGTCAGAACGGTACAGATATCCCCCAAATGTCAGGACGGTACAGATATCCCCCAAATGTCAGAACGGTACAGATATCCCCCAAATGTCAGGACGGTACAGATATCCCCAAAATGTCAGGACGGTACAGATATCCC